CCAAATCGATCCTTTCGATTATAATCTTACTTCACTTTTAGGATGAAGCCAAGTAACCCCTGGTTATGCTCACTCGTGTGAGCATGATCATGCATATAGTGAACTTACAGTAAACATGCAAATGTCATACAAATGATAATCCAAGGTGGGTAGACTTGATGGAATTTATATTTATAAATTAAAGTGAAAGACATAATAAAACATAAATCATAAGACATAAAGCATCAAAATCCGTAACAAACATTTAAAAGTTCATAATGATTGTGAAACCCTAAAGAACTAGTACCAAGGCTAAATAAGAGGGGGTGAATTGGTTATTTAAATTTCTATTTTAATAAATGAAGAGTTAAAACCCCATTATTCAGAAGTAGAAGTAATTTTACTATAACCAAAATTTGATATTTCAAACACAGATCAAATTATATAAAAGTGCAAAAATAAAAATACAGAAAAATAAATAAAACAAAAAAAATAAAATTTATAGTGGTTCGATTAACCTGACCTATGCCCACTCTTTGGAGACTCCCTCTCCAAGTATTGCACTAAATAGAAGTGACTCTCCTTTTGCTCTCACAATAAGGCTGAGAAGCCTATATAGATGTTGTTTCATCTCCCCAGTGCGGTAGAGAACCGTGACCCTTTTACAAACGAAGAATCTCAACTCTATTTTCACCCTCATGGTAATGGTCAGAGAACAATAATTCTATTTTGACCATTTAGGTGATGGTCAGAGAACCACAATCTTTGCTGAAGAACTTCATTGGAGCCATAGAGATTCCAGGCAAATGCTTATAAGGACTAGGCAAGATTCTTTCTTGGAGCAACCTTGTGAATCCCCTCATAACTTCTCCCTCATAAAATCTCCCTCTATTCTCTCACCAAGCTTTCATTCTTCTCTCCTTCAAGCACTCTCTCAAGAAGACTAAACAGCAAAAGATGTCTCAAAAGAATATTTGAAACCCTTAAATAGAGGGCTTAAAAAAACCCTAAATTTTAAGTCATCTGATTTCTGTTCATATAGTACGATACACATATTGTATGATATGATCAGTTCAATTCAAGCTCTTTCAGCAAGATTGTTCAGATGAACTATTCAACTTTTATAAAATATCATACAATCCAATGCAAACATCGTATGGTACAATATGTAGAAATTTCTTCTGTTCATTTGAGACGAACCTTGGGATGACCAATTTCGTACATGTGTGATCGTCCAACATTGTGGATATCATACGGTATGATCAGTATAAAAATCATGGATTTTGTTTGGTATGATCCATGGGATGACCAATTTTGTACACTGGTAATTGTATATTACAAACTATTTCGTATAATACAATCAATTAAAATAATTGTCTATGATTTAATTGCATATAAGAAAGATTTTAATTAGGATGTATATTATGATTTGGATCATACTGTACGATAAGTACATAATTAATATCTTTTTTAACATATGGCAGCTAGAGTTTTGACAAAGCACAACATTTCATACAGCACAAATTAAAATCGTACAATTCGAAATACTTCGTATAGTATGAAACCAATTTTGTACAGTATGAATTACCTAAAAAAATAACTTTCTCGAAAACATTTTCATTTCTCCCCCTATGTGTGCTAGGTTACTCAACAAAATCATCCACCCAATTACATTATATGACTCAAGAAAAGAGAAAGTAAATAATAAAATGAAAATCGACTATAACTCTACTTTACCTAATCTTAAGCTGATCAAAATTGCAAGTTAGCGGTAGACTGATTTTTTGAAACGTTAGTATGCACAAACACAAAATAAAATATCATAAGAATAAGAGAAAGCATTAAAAGACATAATAATATTTGTTATCATCAAAATTATAGTACTTGAACACAATTTGCAATAATCTTCCCCTTTTTAATTTTTTTGGTTAAAAACCACAGAGGGGACTACGCGTTAATTAATAAAAATGATTACAATATCCTTAAGGGAGACCATCAGCTCTCTAATGCTCAAACAAGCTACAAAATAAATAAAAAAAAACATATGAGTCGATAGTCTCCACTAAGCCAAAATACAAGACAACCTAGTAACATGCTAATGAAAAATATTTGTGCCTTAGAAATGAAAAATATTTTAAACTATGATTTTCCTCTGCATGTTTTAAGTTAATGAGTTGGATTTAATTTTAAAATTGTTTTCTAGCATAAACAAAAAAACTATATAGCATTGTTGCAGTATTTTTGAAAATATCAATTCACCCCCACCCCTCTTTGTGCATCATGGGATAATTCATTAAGGTCTAATAACCTTCCCGAACTTTCACCTATCAACCCAGTTTCTAATGTAGAAGATTTTATATCATATAAAATAGTTAGTCAACCATTAAATGCACAATATACGTCTTTTATTGAAATACAAAATAATTTTTTATAGGAGCCAAAATGACACTTATTTTTATGGCGGACCACATCATTACATATGCGGAGGACTAGCTTTGAGATCAAATGTTCCTAATGATATGGGGAGATAAAACAACCACTGAGGACACTTAACTCACTAAGGAGTATTTGGAGAAGCTAGCATAAAATATGATAGTTGATTACTTGGACTTTAACTCTTTAAAGAAGAGTTGTTTGAGGTCTAAGCAATTAGAATAACACCAGAAACATCAACAACACCAAATAATAGAAAGGGTCTAACTACCAGGTTTCAATCTAGAAAAAATTACAATTGAGCATAATGGACCCCATCACCAAGAGGAAGTTGAAGACCACAAATTAGGAAAGTTTATATATTTTTTCTATTAATTATGTGTGTAAATATTTTATATCATTTTATAATTATATATGTGCAATACTTAATACTTTTATTATAAATTCTATGTGTTAATTAGCTAGTAGATGACACTTAATTGATTTAATTAAGTGCTTCATGCATAGAGTGAGTGATGATTGACCAAGCCAAGTAACTAGGAAGTGTAAGGGCTGACCAAGCATGGAAGGAGGGAGAAGTTATGGTGGTTACTATTATGGGCCACTTCCTTTCCATCCTCTTTTCTAAACTCAAATTACTCTTGTACAGCTTGTATAAATACTTAATTATCTATTAAATGAATAGGATTGATGTGTTTTGTAACTAAAGTTAGAAGAAAAATTTATTGTTTGGAGTTTGGTGGCTGGCAAATTAAGAGTGGTAGAGTGATCCTTCCTAGGACTTCTACTTAGGTGAGTAGTGAGATTTATTTTGATTTACTTCTTACATTTACATTTCTTTAACTATTTAGTAACCATAAATTCTCATTAATAATTCACTTGTCCTTTCTTTACTCGCCCTCTAAGAGCCCAAGTGAACTAGGGAACTAAATATATAATCACATATGCTTTCCCAAGTATTTAGTAGGTAGGCCATAATGAGTGGATTCACACCCAAAGAACTTCAACTATGATAACTACTCACATAGGTATTATCAATGCCAACTTGGAAAAATTGGCAAAAAGGAGTTGCCTCCCAATAAAATGCCAAGGGTTCACACGAACTACTCAGACCAGGACCCAGTGAACTTAAACAATAAAGACTACTAGCATAAGGATCATAAACCCCAACTTCGCAAAATAGCCGGAAAAGGGTTGCCTCCTAATAGAACATCAAGGGTTACTCAACACAAAGATTCAACCCAAAACAAAGGAGTTGAACTAAAAAGCACAATTGATCATTGGGCCCATCAGATCATGACAAGTATCCAGTGCAATCTATATCATGGGTCATTTAATGTTATAGATGTAACATTCCTTATAGCCCTCAGTTAAATATAGGGCGAAGAGAGAATTTTTTTAAAAATCTTTTTTAGCACTTTCTAGAGAGACTATTGAGTTAGTGATACACTTAGCTCGCATTATATCGCATGCAGAATCCCATTCTAATTTGAAGTAGTCACTTGTCAGCATCAATAAAATGGCAGACTGGCTGTAATTTGGGAGCTTAATCAAAAGATAATATACAATTTAAGGTACAAGTTGCTTACTCCATCTGTAATTGGACCTGTGACTTTTAGTGCGATTTGGTTTTGATAATGATCCAAGAAAATACATTCGAAAAAAAACAAATTGCTCAAAGTATTCTTACACAATTAGAGCTAAAAATTCTTCAATTTATCTCAAAATTAGTGCAACAAACGATATCATAAATTACATTAAGACATGTTTACATAATTCTTTTTGGGTGCAAATAACTTCAATGACCTCAGAGCTATTTGGGCAGGGGAAAAATTGACATGACCTCAGAGCTGTTTTTGGTTTGAATTAACAATTGTGAAATAATTTTTTTGGGTTCATTTCTTCATAATTATGTTGCAAGATAAATATAAGAATTTTTACTAAATGGGAATTTATTTTATAATAACTTTCATATATGGAAAGTCAAATAGCCCTATTCTGCCCTTCTAAAGCTGCCATCCAATGCATAGTACTTCATGATGGTATGAATAAATACAAATATGAATAATTTTAATCATACAAAATCTAATTATTTACTTATACATGAAAATTTGAACATACAAAAAAACTCAGGGACATATATGCACACATATTTTTATACAAAAATAATTATTATCGAGTTGTTATTAAAGGAAACACAATCATGCAATCTGAAAATTAGCTTAATTGAGTTAAATTATTAAGCCGTCCACACATAGGTTTCGTTTGAGATGGCTTTACTTCTGCTTCTTAACACAATTTTTTAGCTAAACAATGATTTATTTTTAATGCTTTATTTGGGTATAAGATGACAATCACAAGCAGCTTCAGGCTTCATTTGAGACGACTTTCTAACTTCTTAAAACAGCTTTTAGTAATTTTTTGTACTTAAAATTTAATTTAAGCAGTAAGAAAGCCGTCTCAAATGAAGCCATAGTATCTCCCCGTGAAGAAAAATAAACAAAGGAAGAGAGAGAGAGAGCTTCTCCCCATTAAGATATCCATAAGCACTAATTCATCAAATAAATATTTATAAATAACCACGATAATGCGCAAAATTCCTTTCTTTTTTTTTTTTTAATGCCATCATATAATACAGTCAAGGTCTCCCAGTTTTTTTTCAGAAAAATCATGGTAAACCTTAGTTGATTCATTATACTGAATGTAATGGATCAAGTTCAGCATTCAATTCGACTTCTACTGCACGAAATATTTCTAAATACTTACAAACCCAATCCAACAAAGGCTTTAAAAAAATCACGAGTACTCAAGATAAAAAAAATCTGTCTGTGCTGCTTTGTGTATACACAAACAACTATCCGAGGCTTACTCAATCTGGTTCAAATATCAGATTCACATCCAAAATGTCTGCAATCAGTTCTTTGTTCTGCAAAAACAGCATGATTACATCAGTCAGCAAATTCTTCAAACATCGAAAATACTTGATCATGATTTTTGGAATCAGAGCTTTGTTATTCAGAAAAGAGTGGTGCAATTCAAGTTGGAGTATCTTTAGCCCTCATCTTCCGTGCATATGGCGGTCAGCATTGAACACCATGTCGAGTACTAGGCTATGCGAAATGTTCATAGTTTGGCACAAAGGATGCGGAACACTATTAAAGCATATTGGTCACAAGCTACTACAGGTTCGAAGAAAGCTTTATTCGCCGCAAAATATTTGCAGTGCGACACGTTGGATACGGTATTCCATGTGTGGAACAACATCTACTAACATAGGTATGAATTGCAAAATGTCAAAACAACAGCTACTAACATAGGTATGAGTTACAAATGAATAAACTACTTCAGATTCGAAGAAAGCGTCAATACAATGCAAGTGACGATACAATGAGATCGAATATCAGGATAATCCTCTAGGAGGTAATGGTAATACAACTTGAAGATAACATGTAAGGCTGTGCAAGAATGTTATTGATGTCATTAGAGTAGCAAGATCGGTCCTCACGTGGAAGTTGAGAACAAAATCAGAAGGTGGCGATTCAAATGAGCGAAAAGGGCGTGAAGGCTGTTTAAGTTGGTCAATCAATCCATTCATAGAGGTCAAGATGTCACAGCATGAAGGCGGTGATAGATAGATTAATGCATGAGTTGTAGTGGTCACTAAACGTGATAGGATTCCATAGAGGTAGATAATATGACCTGAAGACGATACAAAACAGAGCAAGAAAGTAATGGAGGCCACTAGCGATGGCCAAATCTATCATCCCACGAAGTTAGAGATGGCACGACCATAAGATATTGATGAAATGCCAGAAGGATATAGAGGCCATGGTAGTAGCTGAATCGGTCCTCCCTTGAAAATGGAGATAGAACATCCAAAAGGTTGAGATGAAGCACCACAGGAAAGTTGTGAAGGCCACAAGAGATGGCCAAATTAGTTCTCTCTTGGAGGTGACATGAGAAAGTAATGAGGCCATTTGAGCTAGTCGGAACCATCCTACCCTAGAGGTAGAGAGAACAAAACCTGAAGGTAATGACAGACCAATATTTGGAAGATCATATAGGCCGCTATAGATGGTCTGAGTGGTCCTCCCCTAGAGATTGTGCAAGGGAACTAAATGTATAATCGCAATGCTTCTACCAAATATACTTCCTAGCACAAGGGAAGATGATTATAGAGGGGAGTGGGGACCCTATATCTCTGTGAACAGAAAAGGGGGAAGAAAAAAAGACCACATACAAAGATGGGAGCTTTATTTGGTTCATCACTGTGTTGCCTATGGCCACACAGTCAATGGAATTTTTTTACATTTAAAGCAACAAAGAATACAATATCTTAGAAGGTCTATCTCGTCTTGGTGGGTAGAAATCAGTGGGTGAGTGATGAAGAGGAGAGGGATAATAGTATATTACTATTTGCTAAGAGCCGTTATAATTGCTTGGGAGTACTGTAGGGGTGTTGGCGTCCTTTAGTGGGTGGGCAATTATTTACGGGACATGTGTCATCTCTTGGTTGGCATCAGATCATCATGCTTCAGAAGGATAGCAAGCAACAATTTGTCAGATTTAATGTTCATGAGAGTTAACAAAGATGCTTCAGGTTAACAGAGATGCGCATCCACGGGCTCACATTTCAGGAACTTGACTTCTAGAGCACATGACATTATGCATTAAACTTCTTGCATAAGGCTTTATTTCTTTTGATTTTAGACAATGATGGTCAAAATCATTGTTGGTGCGGTTCAAGTTTTTGGCATTGATTAGTACAATGTGGTGAAGCCTCATAAGACCTCCAATAATCCCTCAATAAGAGATCCATCTCTTCTTTTTTACTACTTTCGACGTGGTGTTTGACTCCCTTTAAGAAAAGAGTTCGAGGACCCACTTGGAGCAACCTCATTGCAATGCAACTGATGCCGAGCACATGCACAATCATCAGAGGCTTCATCTGGCAGCTAGCTCAAAACTAAGTTGGGCTTTGGCAACATTACTGCCCCTCCCTTATAGTTTAAGATGGGCCCTAATGATTTCCTTTATTAGAAGTCCTAACACCAATTAGTTATAGGAATATGAGTTATCAACTGAGTGTATGAAGTCATACTTCTTTACAGTGGTGTATGAAGTCCACCAATCCATTCGCTTCCAAGAAGAGATTTTAATCATGAACATTGACATTTTGGCTATATTGTAGAGTTGGGGTGGCAAGAAGGTTGTCCCTATACTGAAGGTCTTAAAGCAATTGTAGTTGGTGCTAAAGGAACCAGAGCAACCTATTGGGAAACTATAAAGAAGAGGTTATTGGTAAAGGCATTATCACCCAAGAAACAATCGAAAGCTGGAGGAAAAAATGACATTGACTTGGCAACCAAGTTGGCGGCAAAGAAATAGACAAATGTCACCAGCTAATGGTCCTTCGATCCCACTTTGTCGATGGCAAAGGAATAGGCTATAGACTAAGTGGACATCAACATCAACAGCAACGTTGACAAAGATGGGGAGTCCTCAATTGGTAAGGATGTGTATTGTCATATCAGTCAAAGCCCTATTGTTAGAGGAGAGGGAAATGATGACTCATACAAATGATGATGAGAGAGGCACCATGAAAACATCATATAAGATAGCGGATCACCTGGTGCTGGAGTCTAGTAGGTGTAAAGGCTTATTAGTTTGTCCTCGCAGTCAATGAAGTGTTCCTAACGAGGTAGCAAAACTACCAATGGCTATTAATCTTTCGGCAGAAGGGGCCCTTAAAAGGAGTCATTCCTTAATTGGAATACCTAAGATCTTTGGAACAGCGCTAGTTAATGCCACGAGTTGATGGCGTTAGGGTTAATGACAACCCTCAATCTCACCGCTAGCCAACTCGTTGGCAGACTTTTCAGCATGGATAAGATTTGACAGCACTGCAAATCTATCATTGTTGCAACAAGGGAACAAGCGAATGAGGTTGAGCGACAAAAGACTCAACAGTGAGGGATAAAGGAGATGATGGGAACGTAAGATCTCCTTTATATTATTTTAGTCTCAATAGTTGTATAATATCCTTTAAAATCTTAGATTATGCACATTTATAGAGGGAAAACAAATTCTTATTCGCTATCCTAAAGGAGTTGTTACAACCACTTCAAAGCAAACAAGAGGGCTTTATAGTCATTTACTTGTGGGTAGTAATGTAAGGAGGCCAAGGGTTATCTCAAGGTTGGTGTTGAATTAAATGTTCTATGTCAAGATCAAAATGGAGGCAATGAGGTGTCCAATGTCACGACCCGGCCCGGCCCGACTAGCATGAGTTAACGGAGCTGGAACAGTCAGTCGTACAGATAAAACATATAAAACATGAATAACTTCATTAAAGACCTTATAGTAGTATACAAACATCATTCAGAAACATGAAAGAGCCACTAATAACATCAAAACTAAAAGAGAGTTTCATACTGTTAATCACACAAAACTACTAAAACTTTCAAATCCCAATTACATAAACTCCAAACTCAAATTTAAACTCACAAACTACACAGGAACAAACTCAAAGACTCAAACAGAAATCATAAAAAGAAACATTTCTTCCCGAGATCCCCTACGACGATACGTGTATGGTCGTCGTGCAGCCATCACTTATCTTCTGAAAAGCATTTCCAAAAGTAGGAGTCAACGTTCAGCAGGTAATTCATAGCTCAGTTAATTTCATAAGATACATATAACAAAAAGTTTTTAAAATTAGAATTAATTCATTTCATTCAGCAAGTCATAACATGTAATATTCATTTTCCTTTCTTTAACATTACATTCCTTTCATTCTTTCCTTTCAACATTTTCATATACAATGTAAATGCAAAAATGCTTATGTTAAATGTATACACCCGTCCCGAAAGTACCCTTACTCGTACTAATCAGATACGCAATTAATTTTTTGGCTATTTCCTTTACCATTTGGCACCGAAGAACACCATTACCATTTGGCTTTTGTAAGCCCCTTTACCATTATCATTTTGGCACTTCCAGATCAACATGTACATGAAATTGTTATTGTTTTTAAATCTTTCAATTATGCTCAATTATCTTTCATAAGTTTCATAATTTGTATACACAAGTATTATTCATATGCTTTAAATGCTTTCCAAATAATACATAAAATAGAAACATGAATTTGCAGGGTATTCTTTCAATCATTTAAATATAAAATATTTGACAGTAAATAAAACATCTTGACAGTAAAATAAATGCATAAAATCTCATTTTAAGCATAAATAAATTTTGCACTAATAAACTTAAATGAGGTATGAACACCTACCTCTCTTAAGCACAGTATGTCGCTTCGACACAGTTCTTTCACCTTACACTTCAACGATCACAACCTAAGAAATTTACAAAAGAGACGTGTCACAAAATTAATAATCAAATTCCTAAGTCTTGATCATTCATTTCCCCTTAACAAATCCCTATGACACTAAATGAATTTTTAATTAAATAAACCTTAATTTTTGGATTTAATTAAATCTAAAATTTTGGAAAATCTTAAATTTTCAATTTCATCAAATTATCGCTCCAAACTTAATCCTAAACATATAATTATAATTATATTATAATTTTTGGATTTAAATTTATTTTAAAAATAATAAAAACAAAATTTTCATAAAAATTATAAGTTTATGCTTTAAAAATATTTTTAAAGTCCTTAGGAATAACTTTTCTAAAAATACTTAGTAGAAATTATGTTTTTTAACAGAAAGCCCTAAAATTGTATTCTCCAAAAATTTCTTAAATCTCTATGTTTTCATTATTAAAATGATCCTCTAATCCCTCCTTAAAAATTTCACAAAGAAATTTCGAAAGAAAAAAACAATATCTTATAAAACCCTAAAATCTTCGTCTCCAAAGTTCTTGAGATCTAGAAAGTTTCATTTTAAAATAATCATACCTGAATGT